GCCCGGCTATTTTTAGTAGAGACTAGACACGAGGTCTTGCTCTTGCTCAGGCTGGTCTGGAGCTCAAGCAATCCACCCACCATGGCCTCCCAGAGTGTTAGGATTACAGGTGTAAACCACCAGCACTCAGCCCTGGCATCGTTACTGAGTAACAAACAGGTGGGACATTAATCCAAATACATAAAAACAAATCACCTTAAACATCAATGGTCTAAATACACTAAATAAAAGAGATTGTCAGAGTGGATAAAAAACGAGACCCAACTATATGTTATAATTATTCTTGGATATTTTAATATCCCTCTATCAGTAATAGACAGATCCAGAAGGAGAAAATCAATAAAGACACAGTTGACTCAACACCACCATCAATCAACCGGTTATAATTAACATCTATAGACTAGTTTATCCAACAATAGCAGAATACACATTTGTTTCAAGCTCATATAAAACATTCATAAAAGACATTTAAATAAGTTTTTAAAAATAGAAATCATACAATATTTGCTCTCAGACTACAATGGAATTAAACTAGAAATCAATTACAGAAAGATAGCTGGAAAAACCCCACAATATTTCTACATAACATATGCATCAAAGAAGAACTAGGGAGATTTTCAAATAGTCTGAACTAAATGAAAATAAAAATATAACATCAGACTTTAAATTAGGGTACAGTGAAATTAGTGCTTGGAAGGAAATTTATAATATCAAATATGCATATTAGAAAATCGGATCTACGGTAGCGCCTATGGCTCAAAGGAGTAGGGCGCTGGCCCCATATGCTGGAGGTGGCGGGTTCAAACCCAGCCCTGGCCAAAAACTGCAAAAAAAAAGAAAATAGGATCTAAAATCAAAAATCTAAGTTTTCTCCACAGAAAACAGAAAAGAGCTAATTAAATTCAAAGTAAACTCAGCCATAAAAAGGAATGAAATAACATCTGCAGCAAAGTAGAGTGAACCAGAGATCATTATGCTAAGTGAAGTATGTCAGGAACAGAAGCCAAACCCTGTATGTTCTCATTAGTAAGTGAGAGCTACAGATGGTTCACACAGACACAAGAGACACGAGAAGCCAAGATGAGGAAGGGTGGGAGTGGGATTAAAATCTACCTATTGGGTACAATGAACACTATTCTGGTGATGGGCACCAAACTCCCTGACTAAAGTATTAAACAAGATGACTATGTAACAAAAACACTTGTTAATTAACACTCCTTAATTAATATTTTGAAATAAAATATTTTAGAAATTGAAAGTAAATATAAGAAATAATGAAAATTAGAGTACAAATCAATGAAATAGGAAAACAGAGAAAATCAGGAAAGCCAAAAGTTAGTTCTTTAAGATCAATAGAAATTGCTATGCCTTAGCCAGGCCAAGTCAGAAAAACAGGAAACTGTTAATATCAGATGAAGAGGGGATATCACTACAGATCCCATGGAATTAAAAAGATAACAGAGGGATATTATGGATAATTCTATGCCCACAAATTTGGCAAACTAAATGAAATAGATCAATTTCTTGAAAAAATACAGTCTGTCAAAATTCACAAAAGAGTTATCTAGGTATCTATTAAAAAATTAAATCAATAATTAATAAAATTCCAAGACAGAAAGCACCAGGCCTAGATTGGTTCAGTGATGAATTCCACTGAACATTTAAGGAATAGATTATACCAATTTTCTACAATCTCTTCCAGAGGGTAGAAACAGAGGGAATACTTCCTAACTCATTTTATATGGTCAGTGTCATTTTAATACCAAAACCAAAGACATTATAAGAAAACTACAGACCAGTATCTCTCAGAAATATAAATGCTAAAATCCTCCATAAAATATTCAATTCAATGTGAATTGTATAATGATTAAGTTGGATTTACTATACGCATGTATGGCTGATTCAACATTCAAAATCAGTTAATAGGCCAGACTGGGTGGCTCACGCCTATAATTCTAGCACTATGGGAGGTTGAGGCGGGTGGATTGCCTGAGCTTAGGAGTTGGAGACCAGTCTGAGCCAGAGCAAAACCTCATCTCTAAAACAAGGCATGTATGGCAGGTACCTGTAGTCCCAGCTACTTGGGAGGCAGAGGCAAGAGAATTGCTTGAGCCCAAGAGTTTGAGGTTGCTGTGAGCTGTGACGCTTTAGTTCATAGCAATGTACCAAAATTAATTTCTAGTTTGATAATATACTATGGTTAATTAAAGTGTTACCATTAAGTAAACGAGAAGGCTGAGGGCAGGTACACAGGAACTCTAATATTCTTGCAACTTTTCATGACTCTTAAAACTTTTTTCAAAATACTATTTTAAAAGAAAATAAGTTTCAGATGAAGGAAGGTTATTATTTATCAGAATTCATACACACTTTAATGTTTTAACCTATTTAGCATTGCTCTGGAGGTAATAAGATTTATATCTTTTTAAAAACCTTTGCAACTCTCCTTTAAAATATGACAGACCTAATTTCTAGATGGCTTAGTATACAATGCTCTAAGTTTCAGGCACAGTAGAAGAGAAAATTCTAGTTAAGGAAAATAAGTCGTACACTATCAATTACTTTTTTGAAAGAGCAACTATAAAAAGCAGTACGTGAACTCTAATGAAAGATACTCTATGAGAAACAGATCCAAGAGAATAAGACCCATCAAGAGCAACCTCTTACGTCCACCACACCAGTACAATTTTTATTTTGAGTCATAACAAATAAATAATAAATTTTTATTAGGTTCTTTCAATTCTACATATTTCAAGTATTAAACACTTTGGAAGGTTATTGAAAATCGTTGAATTTTAAGCCTCTACTTAAAATAGCATTGATGCAATTATATAGATCATTTTCACCTTTTATATTCATAATTTTTCTTCAAAAGTTAAAATAAATTTTTATTCTAAAAAGATGTAATCATTTCAATGAGCATAGCTCCATTGTAGTTCACAAAATGTATACTTACTATTAACAAATACTTAAGTCAACAAATTCATTTATAACAAACAAAAACAAACCTCTAAAAATCCATACATACAATGAATTAGTTTAAATATTTATGATAGTTACAGATTTGAATTTAAGTTTTCTTTTCAAAGATCAGTGCATGTGGACTGGCTAACCTACTAAATTATCATCTTTGAATAAGAAGCCAAAAACAAAAGAAAAAATTTTAGAAAGTTAAAATGGTACTTTCAAGGTGAAAAGTGGCCCTTCCTTTCATTTCAAAAAGATATAATATTTTTCTAAAATAGAAAATAGAAAAGTTAGATATATAGAAAAAACACTGCATACCTTAACTAAGAAACTAGAAAAAAAAAACTCTTTACTTATATACAGACCTAAGATGAATCCATGCAGATTTTTACAACTATTCACAGAAATACTTCAGACGTAAGTAATTAAGTATGCCTTCTTAATGGAACCTTACCCCAATCTTTGCTAGTTTTATTTCCTAGTTCAATAAAAAATGAGAATGCTTTCATCAGATATCACATATAAAGCAAGATCATTTTTATCAGTAATTTTCTCTGAAAGGGGGTATAAGCCTAAGACAAAACCCTACAAAGCAAAGCAAACTCTGCAGTGAATGATCACAATGTTCTCAAAGTAGAAATGCGTGACTTTTATTTAAACTTTAAAACAGCACACTACCTAATTCACTAGACAACAGGCAAAGCAGAATAAGCAGAAAGTAAGAAGTGGGACTAAACAGAACGGTGAAGATGATCTACCCTGGTTTCAATTTCTGACTCCTCACCAACTAGAGAGGTAAAGCGAGCCTGCTCGCTGCCAGTCTTACCCTTTGCTATGTTTTACCAACATCACCAAAATGGGAAAAAATTTTGAAAAAACTATACTTCTACCTCAAATGATTTAAGGACAATCATAAACAAATCTTTTAACATAACAATGAGTTTTCATTCTAAAAAGAACAGTCTAAGGAAGGAGAAAGCAAATAGCTATTTTAAGCTCCATGTAAAGTGAATCTTACATGTACTCATGTAATAACTTCCAGTTACCTTTTAAGTATAGATAGATTTCCTCCGTAATCCTTCAAAATCTTGTGTAAAAAAATGAAAAATTGTATCACCCATGCCGCAGATGAAGAAACAGAGGTAGAGAAAAGATTAAATGACTTACAGCAGGTTATGCCATTACCCAACTGGGAACAAAGCCTAAGCTGCCTCTCTAATGAAGGTGTCATAGACGCATCAGTATCAGTGAAGTGATTAAACACAAAAGTTGGTCTTACCTTTCAAAATAAAAGAGAAAGGGAGGGACCTGATCAAAAAAACTTCAGAATCCTTATTTAGGGATTCCTTAAATTCCACTTTTCATCTTTTAATAGATACATTAATGTACACAGGACACACTGCCATTTACTATGTGGCATTGAAACTTTCCAATAAGAAACGGTTGCCAGGGCAGGGTACAGTGGCTCACACCTATAATCCTAGCACCTGAGAAGCCAAGGTGGGTGGACTGCCTGAGCTCACAGGTTTATGACCTGCCTGAGCAAGAGTGAGACCTTGTCTCTAAAAATAGCTGGCCCTTGTGGCAGGTTCCTGTATCTCAGCTACTCAGGAAGCTGAGACAAGAGCATCGCTTGAACCCGAGAGTTTGAGGTTGCTGTGAACTATGACGCCATAGCACTCTACCATGCCAAGGCTGACAAAGTGAAATTTTGTCTCAAAAAAAAAAAAAAAAAAAAAAAGGAAAAGAAAGAAATTGCTCACCAATGATGTGAAAAGCACCACAGAAAAAAGCCAACCTACTGAGGAAGAAAACAGAAGAGAAGAGACAGAAGGAAGCTGAATCTTTTATAACACAGGTTAGCCACTGTACTGATTCTGGCATCATCTACCTCCAGACTACCTTTTATGAGAGATAATGTCTTTGTTTTTACAAAGATAAGAAAAGAAAAAAGAAACTGGTAATACAGTTTTATGTAGGATTCATTTAAAAAAATTGTTTTTTCTTGGAACAAAAATGGTTAAAACCTCAGGTTTTCTAAAGAGACCTGTATGAATGTGCAGCTACAAAGATACACAAAGCTGAAGTCTCTGGAAGCATTTGGCTGCCTGTAGTCTTCAGCAAGATCACAGAGTACTCAAAAATTCTTTGACCTAAGGGGAAGAAAAAAATATTAGTATGATTCCTCGCCTAGTTTGAGGTATCTAATACTCATCTGTATATAGTATTTGAAGACCCCAACTGTATAAGTAATTCCATCACAATGCCATAGCATTTACTTTTCAAAGAAATACTATTAAACACTTCAATAGTAAGAGACGAATGACCTATGAAGTCATTATAGGAGCTAATTAACATCTAAGATTGATACAGTTCTAAAGCAGTTATAACACTAATTTTATATTCTCTTTATTGGAATACCATGTACCACTGACACGTGCAGCTTTAATGCTGATAACATTAATAACAGTGATGATTTAAACAATTTTGAAGGTTAAGCATGCAATAAACCTGTACTGTTTCTGAAGCACAAATCTGGATCACGGACACTGCAGTGTTAATGTGTAGGGAAGTCAAGTAAGTAGCAAGTGAACCTAGCCAACTGAAGATCACCACAAGGTCAGAACACTCTTGTTCTACCTAGACTACTCAATAATTCTCCTGAAAGAACAAAAATTATTACTTTGTAAAAATCCCTTAAAAAGAAAAGTCAACTGCCAGCATTATTACTAAAAGTAAAAACATACACTACTGAGAAATGATTCTTAGTCAAAACAAAGAAGTGGAAGACAAAACTAAAAAGTGGGTTTATAATTCAGTTAAACTGATGGTTAGCTGACTTAATTTTATTTTAATAGTATCATAAGTGAATTATAGACTATAATATAACTTATAGTATGAAGAGGTCACTTGAATTTTCCAGAAATTCTCTATTAACAAAATTAGAAAGTGGGTTTATAATTCAGTTAAATTGATGGTTAGCTGACTTAATTTTATTTTAATAGTATCATAAGTGAATTATAGACTGTAATATAACTTATAGTATGAAAGGGTTACTTGAATTTTCCAGAAATTCTCTATTTCATTATCATGGACAAAAATAACTACAGGTATGTACTATGGAAGTTATATAAAATGGTGAGATACATTTCAAAATTGTTGTGATACATCCCTTATGAATCTCAAGTTTATATATAGTGAACAATAGACATTTTGTTATAGGCAAAGGAAAAATCAAATTCCTCTCAAAACTAAACCAAAAAAAAAAAAAGTTGTGGCTTCTTCTTTAGACTGTAGATTGATACATTATTAAAGAAATATAGGGATATTCAATTATACAATTCCTTCCCAGACCCTTCATCAATAGGAGTATCAAATAGGTTAACTCCCAATTATCTGGCTGATAAATTAACTCTGAATAAGACAATAACTCAGTGATTAGTCAATATCAATTCATCTTTAACACAGTCCCAAACGAAAGTCAAACCTAAAACCCCTTAATCCCACAGAACCAATTCCCAAGCCATGGACTAGTACTGGTCATGGCATGTCAGAAACTGGGCTGCACAGCAGATGTGCGTTGGCAAGAGGAGTGAACTTTTCCCTGCATGTACAGCCACTCCCCACCACTAGCATCACCCCCTAAGCTCAGCTTCCTGTCAGATCCTTACCCTCCTCCCCTTAGTCCCAACCCCTGCGTAAAAATTGTTCTCTATGAAACCAGTCCCTGGTACCAAAAAAGGCTGGGGACTACTGCTAATCTCAAAACTTCAGCAAATGTAAAAATGAATGACATCTATATCCTACAACTTTAAATAGCCTCCATACTGAATTTATTAAAAAAGATAAATTTAATTTCATAAGAAGTTTATTATTAAAATATCTAAAAATTGGTGATGTGGGGAAGAAGAAACAAAAAGGGAAAAAACACAGGAACGGGGGTGAGAAAGAACATTTGTTATTGTAATTATCCCTATCTTACAGATAAAGGAACCAAAGGATAAAAAAGGTCCTCATTTTAGCTCAGACCACAAAGATAAAATTTAATCAGGACTAGAATCTAAATAGTCTAAAGTCCTCTGAAGGTCTTAACTTTTTTTTTTTTAATTTGTATTTTCTGAAGGCACTTTTTATTTTATTTTATTTATTTATTTTTATTTTGAGACAATCTCACTTTGTCTCCCTCAATAGAGTGCTGTAGTGTCATAGCTCACAGCAAAAGCAAACTCTTGCGCTCAAGTGATCCTCTTAACTCAGCCTTCTAAGTAGCTCGAACTACAGGCACCCACAGCAACAGCCAGCTGTTTTTTTATAAATGGGGTCTCACTCTTGCTCAGGCTGGTCTCAAATTCCTGACATCAGACAATCTACCCTCCTCGACCTCCCAGGGTGCTGGGACTATAGGAGTGAGCCATCACACCCAGCCTTAACTATTTTTATGTTACTTTATATAAGCTTTTCTCTTGGAAAACTGTTTTTTCCACAAAACAGTTTGTTTTTAGACCAAATAAATATGCTGCATTAGTTTACGGTCTTTGTCTAAATCTACCTTTTCAACCAGACTCTCATGCTTGTCTTTGAAGTCTTCGTTAACATCCAGTGTTAAAATAGGCACCTCTTGTAAATAATCAAAGTTGGTTCTGTTTAAAAAGGGAGAGATTAATAATCAGAAAAGCAATAAATAAAATAGAAACATTAAAAATTCTTTCTTGTATCACTAGAAAATCAAAATGTTGTAAACCATTTTATACTTAAGTTACTGGGCATGTGTTTTATCTGGTAGCCCTTTTTTTCTCATCTAGATTTACTAATACTGTATGTAGCTAAAAATCTCAGATACAAAATATATAGAGCTAGGCATATGATTCTACTCAAAAAACATGGAACATACAATGAATCAGGAGTAATTCCTACCTGCATTTTTAAAGATGAGAAAACTAAAGCTCAGGCACATCATTCTGAGGGGCAGAGGCTGTCCAAGGTCACACACTAGTAAGACTAGACTTGTACCAAGACCTGACTAATAACAAAGTCAGTGCTCTTAACAACTAGGCAACACTCTCTTCTAAGCTACGGTCTAAGAAACAGATTTGAAATCCATTTCCTTAAAATTCTTTCTGAAAGAGAGTACCTAAATAATATATACAGATATATTTCCTACTTTATCACTTAAAGTGAAATTCTATATATTATGCTGTCAATACCACAGGTGGTGGATACTACAATAGTTTTAAGAACTTTAAGGAAATAGGATCTCATTGGAATCAAGAGAACCAAAACGCACATCTGATTCTGGAAAATACCAATAAATAAAATGACATGGAATGAGAAATACTATATATGTTTCTAATTATATCTTCCAAATTTTAGATTAAAATTTGATGAAAGTATTTAAATTTAATAGTCAAGAATATGCAAGTCTTACTTCAATGTTCTATGCAGGAGCCAGCTTTCATGTTTATAGTGAAGCTTCTGTAAATATTCAAGAGGAATGCCTTGCTCTTCATTTCGTCCCCGTAAATATATTCTATTTAAGCATTTCTGAAAGCAAGCAGTAAGAACGGGGGAAAAGGTAAGGGAACAATTATTCTTGTTTGTTGCCATGAAAATTTTCTTTTCTAGTGTCTCTCTATAGTTACATTAGCCAAAATCTCTACTTATTCCTTCTAGAAAGTTGAAATATTTCATTTCTCCCTATATGTGCTTTTCAGCCTTTTGGTGTTCTGACCTAAGCAGTACTTTCAAAAGTAAGTGTATAAATTTTTGCCATCCACACATGAAATATATTAATACAAGTCTGATAAAAAGGAGAAAAAAATCTACTTAAAATATTTCCGGAGGACTGCTAAAAGATATGCCAATCTTCCAATGTAATTTGACTTTGCTGTTAATCATACTTGCTTATAAAACATCTATGGTCAGTCAAAGTAAACCACTAAAGGCAGTGGTTCCTAATGTGATAAAACCTCTAGACCAGCACAGCCAAAACTCTAATGTTTATACTCATCCTATATCTGCATTATTGAATAAGGCAGCCACTAGCTACCTATAGCTTTTGAGCACTTGAAATACGGCCAGTGTGGTAACCAAGGATCCAAATTCTAAAATGTTATTTAATTGTAATAACCTTAAATTAAAACAGCCACACTGAACAGGGAAGCTCTAGATCATTTTCTCATGGAAATATGCACATATATGAAACTTGGTGCAATTTGTAGAGAGTCACAGACCCTCAGAAACTCACCCATGTACTCCAACAAATAACAATCTCTAACCTAAATGACATGCAAGTCTATGGCAGCCTCAAAGTCTTTTAAATTTAAGAATTTAAATTATAAATTCTTTTTTCAATAATTAAACAATCTTTTAACCAAAAGATGTCAGAAACTACACTGATGAAATAAAGTTTTATGTTAGATGTTAAGATACTGACTCTGAATGTTCCAAACAAAATGAAATTATTAGTACTATTTATGTTCTTTTTTTACATTTGTATTTGCTAATTTTGTAATTAAAAACAAAAAATCTTTTTGAAGCTAAATTCTAGCTTGTGGTTTGAAGAACAATAAAATCATCCATTGGAATCAGAAACCTGGTTTCTTTGAAAATTCAGCTTCAATAGCAACAAAGTATTTAACTAATTTCAGGCTAGAAATCTGACATTTGCATTCATCAGGGCCTACCTTATAACTTAAAGGAAGAAATAGGAATAAAAAAACAGAGAAACAATGGGAATGCAAGCACCAAACCCAGGAAGCTTCTTATTAAAGATTGTACTATCTAGGTTAATTTTATGAAAGGGATGCACCTGATGTCCCTATAGTCACTGCATAATACCATATGTAAATTGAATAGCTATGTTATAACCGATTGGAAAACGTATATTTTTAAGTGAGCTCTAGTAACTGAAAATAGCAAAGGTCTTCTAAACTTCTTCCCATCTGTAGCTAATTCTAAGCCACAACCAACCATAAAAAATTTCTTAAAATAGACCTCCATCAATTTTGCCATTTATTCAGCAAATATTTACTGAACTATTTTATATACTCAGGCCCTGTTTTAGGCACTGGAAATTCAACAGTAATTAAAATACCCGAAGTCCCATCTCATGAAGCCTATTTTCTAGGAGATGCTTGAGTAAGTTCCTTATTCTAGCTGTGATGGATGAGAGAGCTTGCAAAAAAAAGTTAGAAAGGAATAAGGGCCGGGTGCAGTGGCTCATGCCTGTAATCCTAGCAGTCTGGGAGGCTAAGGTGGGTGGTTTGCCTAAGCTCATGGATTTGAGACCAGCTTGAGCAAAGCAAGACCCCATCTCCAGTAAAATCATAGAAAAACTAGCCAGGCATTGTGGTGGGTGCCTGTAGTCCCAGCTACTCAGAAAGGCTGAGAAGCTTGAGCCCAAGAGTTGGAGATTGCTGTGAGCTATGATGCCACAAAACTCAACCCCAGGGCAACTGAATGAAACTCTGTCTCAAAAAAAAAAAAAAGATTTCTAAATATTACTTTAAATTTTCAATGAAGCAAACAAATTTTTATTGGGTCTCACTTGTGGAGTGGCTCGAAGATAAATGATTCCATCCAATTCAAGGCTTTGACCAAACTGGTTATTCATCCAGTCATGCCAGTCTTGATAAATAGTCCACTCTGTTTCATTCATGCAGTCAGATTCATACAAATTAGATGCAAAAATATACCTGGAAAACAGTCCTCATCAGCACTTATATAATTTCAAATACATACACACAAATAAGTAAAAAAGAAAAAACAGATCTATTAAATGGACATGGAACATTCTCCTAAATTCAGTAGCAGACAGTGCCACTGAAAAGGCAGGAAAAAAACAAGAAGAGTCTCTCAAATATGTTCTTGGCCAATGGTTTTCAAAATGTGGTGTGAGGACTCCTGGAAGGGAAAGGTACTGTGAAAAGTCAGATTATATTTCACATACTACTCTACTTCAAACAAAAGAACATATTGGCACAGATTAAATATCAAAGCATAAAAATCCAGCCTTCTTGTATTAAGTAAGACACTAAAGAGATGCACAAAAATGTAAAACAATACTACTCTTCTCACTACTTTTTGTTTTTAAAAATATAATTATTTTTGTCTAAAGTATGTCATTTGTGTTACTATGTAATGAGTTTATTATTGCTAGTTTTAAATAAAAAATATTCTGCTATTTCTCAATCTGAATTTATAATAACAAATATCAATAAGATATGGCCCTTTGGACCCCCATGGGGTCCAATTATTGAGAATGAAAAGGAGTCCTGAGACCAAAACGTTTGAGAACCTGTATTCTGAGCTAACTTTGGGGGATCAAAGGAATATTTGGACCCCCAAAGTCCAAGGGCAATTCTAAGGGTGCATAGAGACTGTTATCTCTTTTAGAACAGACGATAATATTAAAAGGGTTAGAGGGGAAAAATAACCTCTCTGCAAATCTGAATGAGATGGCTACCATATTCCCTACAATATCCATGGGAGCTAGAGATTATAAATACTAGAACTTTCCCCATGTCCTTAAATCACAGATTAAAATGTCATTTTCCATCTCAAATACCCAACTCAGACTCCCAAATTATTTTGATTCCCAGGAAAGGGATGGGAAGATCCAATTCTAAGTCAAGATTTGAAACAGCCAAATACAAGCCGTTTATACATACCTGTCACTATACACAGATCGTTCAAAAAATAATACAGGTTTCTCTGCATCTTTGAGCTTGCCATTAAGAGCGGCAAGCTGAGCGCGTATTCTACTAAGACAGGCATATGATTGGAAGGTAAAAGACCATCGTTCAGGTTTCTCATACATCATCTGAAGAACATTTCCACCATTTTTCTGAGATGCTGTCAGTTCCTATTTTGAACATGCAAAGAGAAACAAAAAGCAAAGTTAATTAATAGAGCTACTTTACCTTTTTTTTTTTTTAAGGTTCAAAAAGAGAAGGTAATTAAAATCCTTAGATCTTTCTTACAAGAGGTCACAAACTAACACCTACAGAAGAAATCATGTGTTTTGACCAAACAGGACATTTTAAAACTTTTAAGTAGTTGTCGATATTTAAAAGCTAAATAATTTCATGTAACATATTTGGATTTATGTTTTCTTTTGTTTAATAGAAAAACCAAGTAATACTCTGCCTGCATTTCCTTTTGGCAAAAATCTGCTAGCACCAAGTCCCACATGCCTCCATGGGGTAGGATACGTGCTGTCCAGTCTGTCAGCCCCCACTTTTCTTTGATGGTTCTCCTAACCAGCTTGATTTATTCATTTGGCTGCCTGGCCCCTCAGGTATTTGAATTCGTAACCCAATCTTCTAATGTAACAAAATAGATCCTTCCTATAACTTCACAATTCAATAATATTATGGTTAGAACCAATATTTTCAGTGTTGAGAAAAAAATACAAATGTAAAATTAAAAATGAAGTGTGTGTAAGGCCGGTTGAGGTGGGACTGAGGTAGGTAGACTGCTTGAGCTCACGAGGTGGGAGACTAGCCTGACCCAGAGTGAGACTTCATCTCGAAAAATAGCAGGGCATCGTGGCAGGCACCTGTAGTCCCAGCTACTCAGGGGCTGAGGCAAGAGAATCACTTAAGCCCAAGAGTTTGAGGTTGCTGTGAGCTGTGACACCACAGCACTCTACTGAGGGCCACATAGTGAGACTCAGTCTCAAAAAAAAAAAAAAGTATGTGTAAAAACTCTATAATCTTTATTCTGAATTAGAAATAGCATCCAAACCGCATGAACTATTTTTCTTTCTATAAGATATAGTTTTCCTAGTTCTGTACACCAAAAAGCCTATGAACTATGACAACCCTGAAGGAATAAACATAAATACCACCCAGATTATGATCTCTAATATCATTTCCCATTGAAAGGAATTAGGATTCTATACCTGATTCTAAATCTGGGGAAGGAAATGCACAAAATGAGCTTCATACATATTGTTCCAGAAAACAAGGAAACTATTAAAGACTAGTAGGATTGCCCCAAGGGCAAAGAAGCCAACATGAAGAGACTTCAACTGGTCAAAGACAAACAATTTGGACATCCAAAAAGAATGAAAGGCTAAAATCCATGAGTTCATAGTACTTAAAAAAAACCCCAAAAGTCTGGTCATCTTTTGAGGTTGCTACGGTACCAATTAATTATTCTGAAAATTTTGTAGGTAAAGAGGAAAATACCATATCAGGCATTTTTATTCTGGTCTTTTCCATAAACATGCTGTCAAAGGAATGAAGTAGTGAATGAGGCAAAGGCCTTTACTGACTCATTCCAGCCAATAAACTCGGAAGGCTTGAGAAAGGATACCACCTTTTATAACAGCAAATGATGGCTCGGCACCTATAGCTCAACCGGCTAAGGCGCCAGCCACGTACACCTAAGGTGATGGGTTCGAATCCCCAGCCCAGACCCACCAAACAACAATGACAGCTGCAACCAAAAAAATAGCTGGGCATTGTGGCAGGCGCCTGTAGCCCCAGCTACTTGGGAGGCGGAGGCAGGAGACTCGCTTGAGCCCAGGAGTTGGAGGTTGCTGTGAGCTGTAATGCCACGGCACTCTGCCCAGGGGGACAGCTTGAGGCTCTGTCTCAAAAAAAAAAAAAAAACACCAACAAATGATATACTGCAGTGAGGCAACAATTAGAAAAAGATGCTAAAAATCATTAGAGAAAAGTTGATTAAGGAATTTTATATTGGATAAGTTAGGCTGACAACACCTATTGACCAATTTTAACGTCACAAAAGACATCTCTCTGATTTAAGAAATACACATTACCAATTAGGAATTTTGCCAAAAAAGAATTTAGACCAGACATGAGGCTCATGCGTGTAATCCTAGCATTTTGAGAGAAAGAAGCAGAATAAAGTAAAACTGAATCAAAGGTCTGTAATAGAATTTTCAAATTTGAAGATGTTAGTTTTTCTCTCAGTTTAATAGGGTACCAAACAGGATACCCAGAGATTCTTCCTGAGTTCATTCCCGGGGTTAAGAATTATGGGTCTAATAGAATAGACTTATATAAATTTTCTGATTGTTCAGGATAACCCATTTGGTCCTAAGGAAGAAATTCTTGACACAAATTGCTGGGGTTTTGCATGCAATTATAAATGTTAAGGTTAAAATACATATTAGAAATTTATCCAAAAATACTGGGTATCAATCTTTACCCAAATGTGTTAATTTTATAAAGTTTTTCCCTCTGAAAAAATACAGTAATAAAAAATGTGAATGCCTCAGAGTCAAACCACAGTAAGTAAAAATTGGTAGGTTAGCTAAATTTATTTTTAAAAAATAAAGTCTGTACCTTTGGGGCTAATTGATTCTGCTTTTAGAAATGTATTTTAAGAAGTAATCTAGAATATAGACTTACGTGCAACAATGTTTATTACAGTGCTAAGCAAACAGGGGATGTTATTCCACTATTATTGGGTATTTATATTAAGTTGATAACATTACAATCAATTTTAGGCTGCGTTTAAAAATCCTGCTTCAGCCTCCCAAGTAGCTGGGACAACAAGTGCCCACCACAACACCCAGCTATTTTTTTCATTGTAGTTGTCATTGTTGCTGAGCTGGCCCAGGCCAGGTTTGAACCTGCTACCTCCGGCATAGGTGGCCGGTGCCCTAACTACTGAGCTATGGGCACCAACCCATAGATAATTCTTAATAATATTTTTAATTGCTTTCACATAAATATTATTGGGGCAAGGAAAGAAAGTACAAAATTCTACACTGTTTTATTAAGTAAAACTGAAGTTATCTCTGGTTACCAGTTACAGGTAAATTTTATTCTCTTTCAACAATCTCTGGTAATTTCTGACATTTTCTTAACTTGGAACAGTGAACAAGTATTAATTTATAATATTAAAACTATGTAACTTCCCACCAAAATTATATATAATAAATTATTATCTCAACTATATATTTAATAAGAAGATATATAGAACAGTAAGATTATGGATAATTTTTATTCTGTTCGCTATAATTCATATCCATTGCTGCTTTATCATAGCATACTTTATTTTATGGTAAATATAGATTTTTTCCAAGATAACTGAAGAATAGAAGTATCAAGATATAAAATCTTTTAATTCTAGTTTTATCTTTGTAAACATTGCAAGAGTTAAAGTTCAATCAAAAAAGATTAGAGCCTACCAATTATAAAATAGCCAATAAAAGTTGTCACAGGATTTCAGAAGGTACAAGTAGAAGTACTCTATCAAGAAATCCTAATTTTTAAGAGTGACCTATCAAAAGTAAAAAATATGGTGCTGTTGGGCAGCTCCTGTGGCTCAAAGGAGTAGGGCGCCGGTCCCATTAGCCGGAGGTGGGGCATGCCAAAAAAAAAAATATGCTGTTGTTTCACAGACACTTATATTTTATACCTTCTTGCTCACAGTTGCTAATTTCTCAGTGGCTTCTTAGTGTTAAAAAGCACTGAATGAAAGTAAAACAGTAGTAGTGATGCCTATGTTAATTAGCTTGACCATTCAGCACAAGGGCTGTCTGTAAAGTATCCAGCCCAAATAGGGCTCATCCTTGAGCCCTATTCCAGACCCATCATCAATGTATCCATTACAGCTATCATGTAAATGACCCACTATCCAAATCTCAGCTTTCTCAGAATTCTGTCAACAATGAGAAGAGGACTGGGTTCCTACTTTGGATGTTATGTAATCTATACTTCCCATAAAACAATGAAGTATGTTATGAAAAAGTGACAACTGACATGAATTATAGAGAATAGGATGAGTCTGGACAGCTCTTGTACATTTTTTGTTACAAAGAATTAGGTTACACTGCTTGCATTTGTTAGGTAAAGTCCCACCCCCAAGAAGTGTGTTATACACTTTAACCCCCGAATTCCCCTCCCTTCCCCTCTCGTTCCCCATTCCCCACCTTGAATTGATTTGAGTTTTTCTCTTACGAGGGTATGTGTTAGCCTATTGGCTTTATATTAGAACTGAGTACACTGGATTCTTGATTCTCCATTCCTGTGATGCTTTACTAAGAAGAATGTGTTCCAACTCTATCCAAGTTAATATAAAAGATGTAAAGTCTCCATCTTTTTAATGGCTGAACAGTATTCCATGGTATACATATACCACAGCTTGTTAATCCATTCCTGGGTTGGTGAGCATTTAGGCTGTTTCCACGTTTTGGCAATTGCAAATTGAGCTGCAATAAACAGTTTAGTACAAATGTCCTTATGGTAAAATGGTATTTTTTTCTTCTGGGTACATGCCTAGTAATGGGATTGAAGGATCAAATGGGAAATCCTTTGTACATATTTTAAAACATTTGTTGTATACCATAAATAATTTTTATCTGTCAATTAAAAAAATTAGAAATTAAAAAAGTAAAATAGTACTTCACTATTAAAACAATGATACCCCCAAAGAATTCAACTTTATTTAAAAAAGGACAAATATTTTCCTAATGGCATGTATATATATATTTTTTGAGACAGGGTCTTGCTGTTGCCCAGGCTAGACTGCACTGGCATCATCATAGCTCAGAGCAACCTCAAACTCCTGGGCTCAAGTCATCCTCCTAGTAGATAGGACTACAGGCTCCTGCAACCACACCCAGCTAATTTTTTCTATTTTCAGTAGAGACAGGAATCTTCCCTTCCGGGCCTCCCAGAGTGCTAAGATTACAGGCATGAACCATGGTACCTACCATAACAGCCTGTGTATCTTAACTATAAGCTAAAAGAAAGCAATTAAATCAAAGGTTTAGGCCTAAATAACAAATTAACAAATAAAGTACATCATTATCATTATTTGAAATAAACCTTCAATACAAAGATTAATAATCCTCTGAGTAGTATGTTTTAAAGATCATCT